ATGGATGGATGGATGGATGGATGGATGGATGGATGGATGGATGGATGGATGGAAACCATAAAGAAGCAAATTTTTAGCTAATATAGAAGCAAAAAGTTAAAATTAGCATAAAATAAGCTAACGGTAGCAGCCTTAAGTTGAAAGTAGCACCCAGATGGTGAAACGGTTGTAAAAAATTCAAAATTAGCAGAAAAAATTCATAAAACTACTAAAAAGTGATCATTTGAAGTAAAATATGTAAAACAGCCGAAGTTTTCAGTAACACAGCTAAAACGTAGCTGGAAACATTTTAATTAGCATAAGGATGAATAAGGAGCACAGTTGTTTTGAATTTAGCAGAATTAAGTTGAAATAGCTCCAAAAAAGTGTGTAATTAGCTCAGAAAGCTAACTTTGGCTAATAACCGCTAAAATTAACTAAATTTGTAGCAAATAGCTGAATATAGCAGAAAGCAACTGTAAGAAGCATAAATAGTACAAATTAGCAGAAAAAGGCAGAAGAAAAGCAAACATAAGCAGAACTTTGAAATAGCAGAAAACAGCTGGTTAGCAAAAAAGTAGCTAAAATTTGCACAAGACAGTAAAATAGAGCATAACCAGGACAAATTGTGTAAGGTTTTATGAAGATTTAGAAACTATTTGAAAAATTTTAAGTTTGTTGAAAATAGCCCCATACAAAGTCAATGGGGGAAAAAAGTAGCTAAAAAAGTTGAAATAGCTAAAAAAGTATAAATAGCTGAAATAACAAAAGTCATAGCCGGCATTGCACGAAAGAGCTGAACGTTTTGATACATGAATGGTTGAAGGAGCACAAAAACTGTGGAACGAGAAATGTGCTAAAAACGTACAGAAGAAAAAAAAGATCTAAATAAAAAATGATCTGATTTATTTGTGTGAATGTCATAAAACTAAAACAAGAATTTCTCAGTGGTTTATTTTAAAATTTTACTAAAACAAGTTAACTTCTAAACTCATCAGGATAATTTAGAAAATCAAACATCTTTAAAACATTTAATACATTTTAACAACCTATTATTTCATTCATCAAAAGGTTTAATAAACAAACTCCTTTGAGCTGTTGTTATCTTCTTGATTTAATAATTAGCCGCCGAAGCTAACACATGCTAACAGGTTCTGAGCAGGTCTGACCCGTGAGACCGAAGCACTCCTCCTTCCAGTATTTGGACTCGTAGATTCGGGTCCGGATGATTTTCTCCACCAGGTACTGCGGGTTGGTTCCGTGGATACTGTTGGCATCTTTAACGGTTCTGTTTGCCATCTGAACGAAACCGAGCTAGCCTATTAGCATGAACCGAGCCGAAACGARCAGACAGCGGAAACGATAAGTAACACTTCCGGGTCCACTTCAGAATAAAAGTTTCTTCTACTGCGCAGTGGAGACCGTATTCATTTCCATGGTAGAGACGGTCTATTTTTCCCAAATAGAATGGACAAATTGCACTTAATTCTTCTGTTTGTGTTGTTAAACTGTTAGTAACAAAATGCTATGATGTCTTTTCTTACAAACTTGTTCGTGATTTATCCTCCACTTTGTTTTCTCACATTATTAGGGACAAACTGCTCTAATCCTTGTCCTGAGTCCTTATAAAGTCAGCTGTTATAGATTTTATTTTTCTACAAATGTATTTTAAATCAATATTTTAAAGTTTAAAATAGTATTTTAGGCTATAATGTAACCTCTTAAGTATTTTGCTGATGTATTGCTCTTCAGATCAGAATGTGAATGATGTCTGAACACCTTAAATTCACTTTGATCTGTTGTTTTTATTTCAGACTTCATCAGATTTACTCTTGTATTGTCCTTCAAATAGTTTTTTTTACTAATGAACCTCATGTTTGTGTATCAAACCTGTTCAGTTGCATCAGTTGATCAGTTTGTGTAAATGAACACAGCTAAAAAAAAAATAGTACAAACTTTAGATTTGAAGGGTCTTAAATTCATGTTTCATTATGTTCTGTTGTCTTTAAACATTTTAACATTTAAAYAAATTCCTACAAAAAATGTATTCCCGATTTTCATCTGAATCCTTAACATTCAAATAGATTAATATCTTTTAGTTTGTTTTGTTTCGTCTGAACTAAATTCATTTTTATTCACCAAGTTTTCAAACTGTCAGAAATAAAGAAGCATTATTTCTTTAAAGATTTATTAGACAGATTAAATATAAGACATGTTTACTTTACAGGAGGAAACTGGAGTAACTTAAGAAAACCCAGTATTGCACAGTAAGAACAACCGTCACAAAACACAAAAATGATTTAAATACATACAACTGTATTTTTCTATATAAAACTCTAAAAGCAGCAGAAAATAAATATAGTTTAAAAGCTTTATGAAGATCAGTACAAAGTGCAGTTAAATCTTAAAAAAGTGCATAAAAATACATTTTCATTTTAAAAGGTTTTGGCACACTGAGTTAAAAATGTGTTGCTTTGGTTACAGCACCATGCAGGAAGGTTTTCTGACAGTAATCAAGTAAAAAGGATCAAAGTTCTTTGAACATTTCATGTGCCTGAAGGATGTTTGTTCTGGCTCCACATGAGCATGTGGAATCAAACCTGCAACTTCCTGGTCCCGAGACAGCTGCCCAACCACTGAACCACTGTAAAGATCCTGTCAGCAATCCTTACAGTTGTTACTGTATTTATTCATGATCTCGTGTATGAAACAAAAATGTATCCTCAGGTTAATAATTTCTCTTAATTTTATAAACTTCAGGATGTTTCAGTTTTTAAACATGTCAGTAAAATGATCCTTTCACTGTTATTTTAACATATGTACTAAAATATATAAACGTATATCAACAAACTATGATTTTCAGCTTAGCAGCAGCTTCATGTGAATGTTTAGTTTCATGACAGGTTCCATCACTCTTCTACATAAAGTCCAGCAGAGGRCGCCGACACACAACTCAGACCTGAGCCATCTTCTGGTGCAGAAACCGATCACTGGACTTAAATCTCTTATGTTATACTGGCATAAATACAGTAGTTACCTGAGTTTTAGCTATCAGAACTAAAACCCACTGGACCTCCTCTGAAACTGAGTGAAAACCTGACAGATCCCAGACTTTCTTCAACTTCTGTGTGCAAAAACCTTTAGTGTCTTATAGAGAAGAACATAGCAGGAAATGAAACAAAGCTTGGTTAAATATAAAGTGTGCAGAGAGTTGTCTTAATGCTTGTTCCTGAGGACAGACATGTCTTTTTGGAGACTTGGAGGACAGACGTGTCTTTTTGGAGACTTGGAGGACAGGCGTGTCTTTTTGGAGACTTGGAGGACAGGCGTGTCTTTTTGGAGACTTGGAGGACAGGCATGTCTTTGAGTCTCGAGTCTTCAGACCTGTGAAAACAAAAGTTTCAGAGGGTCACTGATGAAGAAACAATCTGTTGATAAAAACTTCATGTTTTATTCTAAACAGTAACTGAATAAACATTCTGGTTATAATCAGTTAACCAGTTCAGTTAAAGTTCTTTAAAACCTGATTTTTTTGCTCTTAAATAAATCTTTGTGTTACTTCATACATAAAATAAGTTATAAACAACTTGACAGTAAGAATCCTAGAAAAAACTGAAGGTTTAAAAACAATGGGCCTCATGCAAGAACATGTTCGTATTCTTCTCCTAAATTTCTCTTACTTTTGTTCGTACAAAGGG